TATGAGCTGTGAAAGTTAAGGCATTAATTTTTTTTCAAATGTAGATCTGCTTGATTTCTATTGACGGCAGCCCATATCATAAAATATCATCAATGTTTACCAGTATGTGTCTGAATATGTCGCATAACCTTTTGACGTTGCGAGAATGGGCGTCCATTCCGGTCACATCTCTCCCAATAACAGACATACTGACTTCTTCCGCATCCGATATGTCCTTCGCTAACATGTCCAGTTAATTCTTCATAGGTTTCAAATCTTAAATAACAACCTTGCCATTTGCACTCATGTTGAAAATCCCGCGCTGCCAAATGATCATGAAATAAATGTTGAAGTAATTCATCGTCATTTTCTTGTTCTTTTGAACAAGATGCCCATCTACAAGAAATTCTATTAGAGCGTCGAGCTATATGCAGCTTTGAAAGATGTGGTATTAGTTCATCAATAGATCTAAATACAGCAGCACATGCTTCCCAAAGACATCTTGCACCATCAAAAATCATATCTTGCTTTCGTTTATTGCCAGATGAAGATGTCAACATGAAATTCGAGGATGTTGTAGAAGTAGATATGTTATCACTTTCAGAACTCAATCTTGACAATAAATTATCATTTGTTTGAATTAACCTATTATTCATAGTATCTTCGTTTATTGAATTCATAACTTTTCGTGGAGTCATATTTTGTGAAATTGGTAAAGAACTATGATTATTAACGGTCACAACATCTTTATTTGATATTTCTGAAATCTAAAAATTAAAAAAAAAAAATTATATTAAATATTCGTTTCAAAAAAAAGTAAATAAATAAATAAATAAAAATTTTATCAATGGTACACACAACCCGGTCACTCGTAACAGTGGTAGATTGAGAAGTTGGTATCCGAGAAAAACTTGGTATCTCTGAGATTTCATTATGATCTTCAGGTGAATATTTCTCATGCGTTATCTTATGTAGCTGCGGTGACGTTAACTGACGAGAATCAGAATTTTGTCCAATTGGAATCAGTGAAAAAGTATCATAACTTGTATTTCTAAAACAACGCTCGTATGATATAGTCTCGTTGGGAAAATTGAAAGAAGGATGTTCAGAAAGATCTGGTTCATTAACAATATGATTAGACTCAGAGTCTCGAATGGTTATGGCTGCTTGTGCTGCTTCTGCTGCTGCTACCGGGCAACATTCTGTACAGCATTCCCCAGCGATAGCCGGAGCCAGAGTATACATATATTCAGTACGGTACGATGGTTTGGTATGGTCAGTACAGTGATTACTTGTAATAAATGGAGTATACATATATTCAGTACGATACGATGGTTTGGTCAATACAGTGATTACTGGTAATACAGTAATAAATGTCAATAGAAGATGTAGTCACATGAGCCTCGACCAGTGATAATTTTTCACTGTGCGGACTGCGCGTAACACACAGAAACAAAATTTTGCGCACACTTTTTTTTTGAATAGATGTGCGGATGCCGCACAGTAAAATTGTCATTTTACAAGTAGTGCGTACAGTTGCAAATAGTTCCTCGTGTTTTTTTTTTGTTTGCCGCACAGAAAAGATATATAAATTGTGCGGCATCCGCACAGTAAATTTTAATTGAAAAATTAACACTGGCCTCGACCTCCTGATCTCAATTACTGTATTTTATTCTGACGCAATCTATGCAAGTTAAATTGTACGATTTTTCGCTATCACATTTTGGCAAAAAATAAAGGTTAGTCTCTATGTTAATAATACAAAAGAAAACACGATAAACATTATTGCAACTCGTTCTCATTAAAGCGAATCCTCAGATTGAGAAAAAATATTTATTACAGCCTATATCGAAAGAAACTATAAACAGTCAACATTCTCCATAACGAACGCTGGTTCTGGACGTAAGGAAAAGTTCTTTATATAATATCATTTTTCTTAAAAACCATAACTCTTTATACCGAATCGATATAAAATTTATAATTCTAATTACATTATTTCCAGAATTCTTTATAGAGATGTTCGTTATAAAGAAAGTTGGATCTATATCTAATTTAATAATCCGTAATTCAAATCTTTACCATAACAAATCTTCATTATATCGAGAGTCCCGTTATTTAATTCTACAATCTTTTTATTGCTTCATTTGAATTTTTTTTGTGTCAACTTGGTTATGAATAAGGTTCATTTATAAATCCATCTACACCGAAGTTTTCTATAACGAACTTTTTTATAATAAGCCCTGACACATAATGAACTGTAATATTTTAAATTATATATGCTGTGTTTGAAAAGTATATATTTTGTATATTCTATGATTCGATTTTATTTGTATAATTTAATTCAAGCTTTACAATTCATTTGATCTGTTCGTGATTATTATTAAATAGTCAAATTTATTTTTAAAATATACTAATTTTGTTTCCTAGAAAGTAATGTTTTTTTTTTTTTAAAAAAAAAAAAGTGATTTATAAAAGCGCGAAAAATAGAAAAAAAATTAAACCAATTTGAATTTTCCGGAGAATTGTAAAGTTGGTATCGTTCGATTCGTCTCGATGAGACGAATCGAATACCAAAATCATATGATTCTGATCAACGGTTCACAAGATATCGTGCGTCAAATTAGGAACATCATGCGACTGCGCCCTCGATTGTCCAGCATCACATGTCAAGGTTAAAAAAATATATTACGAATCATACCGTACAGTGCTGTACAAGATTTTAATCGTACCGTACATAATCTCTATATCCCGCCGGAGTCATTTGTAAAACACTTGCGGACGTCGGAGAAGGTTTTATGGGCTGATCTTGGATTGAAGTATTTGAGAACGTATAGTCCAAATACGAATTTGTAAAATTGTGTAAAATTGGACTGAGGAGGTGGTCTGTGTATGCTTCGATCAGGTCACTTTGGTTCTTATTCCTTGAACACTATCTCCAGAATTTTCAGTTGATTTGTTTTGCTTTCCAATAAAACAATTTAGCTGGCTTGACATTGATGGGTCTGCGATCAATCATTCAGAAACATTTCTAAATTATTTATCAGACCATAATAGTTTCACGGAGGTACGTATGATTTTATTGGGTCGAAAAAATTTTTACATATTACTATTATTTTTATTATTAAAACTATTTCTTTTAGAGATTCAACATATACTAAGCGTTACTCTAAAAAATTTTTTTTATTGGTTTACGAATTTAAACACGATGTTTATCTGTTATTAATTTGAACTGCTTATACGTATATTATTGGTAGTGCATTACCGAAAAGCTGTAAAATATGTGTATTACGTATTATGCGGTTTATCTTTCAATAGTCAATATTGTCACCGGAGTCATCCGTAACTTGAAGTCGAGTGAAGTGGTTTGAATAGCCATAACAGGCTTGAATTACGATTGTAGCTTTTTTAATTGTTCGAGGGGGTTTTTTAAATTATTTTATACCGTCTTGCAGGTCTGATCCGAATATGTTGTCAATAAGAACATCCCCAAACTGATGTGTATGATCAGATTTAGAAAAATAAACTACTATATAGCAGGAACAGACTTAGTATATCAGATTTAATAGGTTATCAGTTTTATGGAATCAGTTCTGGGAGGTAACCAAAAAGAAATCTGAACCTGAGATCCGTAAAAGTATAAATTACAACCGGGGAATAAATGATCACTTCCACAATACTATATCTGATATATCACGCGTTATGGACTCCTCTACAAAGTGTAATGCTGTAATGACGAATCCATTTTACTTTTCTAAGCCCTAGACAGAGTAACCTGCAGACATTTCCTTCACAATAATCTCACATTACATAAAATAAAGTATATACAGTTAAATCTTCCTAAGTGCACCATCTATAAGTGCACACCCTTCCTAAATGCACACTCTAGCTTGGTCACAAGTAGGGTTGTTAATAGAGTACTCCAGACTATAATAAAAACATAACCCACTCCAGAGCACTCCAAGGTGGGTTATATGTTTTATTATAGTCTGGGGTCTCCATTAACAACCCTAGTCACAATTAGAACCAAGTGCGCACACCTCTACTTTCTGCACGTGCATAAGTTTTTGAGACCTATACATATATGGGGGGGAGTCAATAGAAAAGGGACAAATTTTTTCTAAGTAAAAGTTTTCTTGACTTTAAGCTTAAATAT